ATAACCGACACATCTTAATATAAATCATACTCCTGCGTGTCAAGGGATCGCAACTTCGGGCATTGACTCATAGTTTAGAGTTTATTTACATATTAAATATATATATATATATATATATATAGTATATAGTACTATATTATAGTAGTATATATTACCGTAGTACTATATATAGTATATAGTACTTATATATATGCATATATAAGTATATATATACTTACTACATATGTTTTAAATATTTGTAAAGATGACTTTTACATCACATGAACAAACTGATTCTAAATTCGTTGACAACCAACAAGAAGGAAACTGCCGACCGAGATAATGTTAATGAAGTCTGCCAGTTTTCAAATTTCACCTCTTTGGTTTTTTTAATAAAAGGGTTATGGATTTTGGATATTCTCTGTTGCACTTTGATAACGGGAATGTGAAGAAAAGTATGAACTATAAGGCTGATATTTCTGGCTCACCCGATTTCACTAACAAATCTGGGAAGCATGAATGCACAGCTTCAAATTTGCAGGTCAAAAATGTTACAGAAAATCCACATATCTTAAATATTGAATACAATTATATTTTATGCGATGATTGAATGTCCTTAACCGAACTAAGAGCATTCGTGATTCTTATGCTCCGTTTTTTACTTCATTGTAAGAGCAAAGTACTACTAATTTTAGAATTATTTTCGTTTTCAATGTTAGATCTAGCGATCAATTTTTCACTCACGAACACTCTGGATCAAGGACTTGAAGAAGAAAGCAAATTCAGTTGTTACTGCCAAGCTTTAGACCTATTTAAAGGTCATCATCAAGACGTATATTAATTTTCACATTGTGAAAAACCTGAAATACAGATTAATTAATTGAAAGATATTATTTGGTCAAGCGGACCACGAAAACTAGTGAATTGTGAAAAACAATTGTTAAATCAAGTATAGAAATAGATTTTTCGTAACGGATATTTATGCTTTTTGTTATGTTTGTATGTTGGCTGGTTCTATAGAAATGACTCCCTTACAATCATTCATGAAACCACCATCATCATTAGAGCAAACATACAAAGTTAAATTATGGAGAGCCAATATATGCCAGAAAACTGGCACAACTTAAAAAGTGGTACATTTTCAGGGGTAGTACAGCGCGATTTTTAAAGTTACGTGTTTTCGGCTCAAGTCTTGGACAAATGAAAGACAATTTTGATGTATCATGACAGTTTTTGTTACCAACAACCGTAGAGTCGTGTACTTAATGTATAAATAAGAAAAAAGTAAGATTCCATCTGTCTCTCCTGAAAAATTTTATTTTGTTGAGTTGTGTCACTTTACTTGCGGGTGTGCGATATGTTGAGCCAGTATTTCGATAGCATTTGCTTTCGAAGCAATAATAGTAATTCTTCATCTACAAAGTATTTAGTCCGCTGCATTAAAAACATAACTGTGCTTTTGACTGTGAAAAACGTAAGCGAATATTTTCGTTTTAAAACTATAACGATCAGCAGGATATAAAACTTTAAACCATACTACCTTGGCACTCAACGTGCAAAATATTTTTACGAATATGGCACACCTTTGCTTAATGACATTCCTTTTGCCTTCGATTGATATTATTATTCCCTAAGCAGGTATTATATTGAACACGTCATCACCACATAAATCATTCACATTCCACACTGAAGATGGTGACCAAAATGATCGTTAACGACTAAATTTCAGTTCATCACCGGGCAAACAACACAAAAATCTCACAATCTTTAGTTCTAGTTTGTACTATAGAAAAAATAATATCTCCTCGTAAAATTTAAATATTTAAACTACGTTTGGCTTTTATTGCTCAAATAATCACAAAGTTCATTTATATTCAACGTTTCTTTATCAAAGCATTTTCTTTTGCATCTTTAAAGAATAGGACAAACAGCAATCAAGGGATTTGCATCTTAGATCTAGGAATACACGCATTGGAATAAATTTAGATCAAAAGTCTTTTTAATTTAGATATTACAATTCCGACGTAGCATTATAACGAGTTTTTCTTCAATTAGAGAACATCGTGTATTAATTAAAAATTTATAGAAGTATACATTACTCAAAATTCTGCATTTTGTGTTTTTTTACTGTTTTTACTTACACTTACTTTTACACTTTTATTCTAGTTTTCCATAAAATTGTTAGGATTTTAGACTTCAGATACAAACTAAATAAAGTAATAAATTTTTATCAGGTTAATTCCGTTTTATTCTATATTTTAGGAAATATCCTAGAAAAGTATCCTCTCAGCATAGAAGATGCTGTAGTGAGCGGATGTTCCAGCAGTAGTTTGTCATCTTTAGAGGAGGCAATTTTTCTCCGAGGAAACTTGAGGACAAATAACCCCAACTTAAAAGTTTTAAACGAAAATAATCAATCGCTCACTTCCAAGTTTCATGGTCTAGATACTCGTAGTTTGCCATTTACAAAAATTTAAACGTCGCCGTGATTACTATTCATTTATTTGAAGATTATTGGTGACAAGAGGACTCTTATATAACAGGAAAATTGTCAATGCAATAATATTACAACATGCATCTTTAATTTTTTATTTAGTTTTCTATGATTTTAATAGTTGTTAGATAAGATTGGCGAAGCTTAAATGTTTCAGAATGTACAGGTTTTATTTTTTTTTCTTGTGTACAAATAATCCAAAAAAGTATTATTAATATTAACAGAAAATATGCCCTCAAATATATACAGTCTATAGTCTCCAGACTAAGTTAAATTTTGAAACGGATAAATTTCAACAGGATTTAATTTTAATGTTGAAATTTCATAAGAAAAGAAATATCGTTGAAAAAAGTTACAATTTTACCAAATTAAACAATTCAATTTTGATTTTTAGGATAGGAAGACAATAACTCTTAAAACCTAACAGTTTAGTAAAACTGTAATCAATATTATACTTTGAATGTTAACTAAGTAGCTTACAGATTACGTAAATATATATGGTTTGTTTATATAAAAGAGTTAATACATTTTCAATAGAATTTTTACCACGTCGACCAACAAATCATTATGTAGTAAAAACTCAATTTTCTATATTTTGATAATCTATATAAAAATAATTTAACTACTCTATTAATAATCAATATGTAAATTATCTAATAATTATATTTATGCTAAGAGCATGTTATTACAAACAATTTTAGTGTTTTACAGAACAAAAATCCTTGCATTAAAATAAAAGTGAATAGAATAAAATTATTGATTCTTCAAGTAAAACAAGGAGGATTTGAATAATTTATGAACAGAAAAGGCCTGAAGCAAGTTTAGTCCATATTACCCATTCTACTGAAATAAAGTATAATTGGATAGTTATTTAGATGAAAGGAATAAGCGAACGGAACAATTTGAATTTTACTTAACGTTGAATCAACTAACAATTCCTGATGATCAATAAATCGAATGGATTAGATTATTTAAACAAGCTAAAATGAGAAAATACATTTTTCCCGTGCTCACCTCTTCATAAGAAATTCTGGGTTCTAATTTTGGATTCTATTTAGTGATTTTCATGGAAAACATTCCCTCGTTTTGGAATAACAAATTCGTAATCCTTTATGTCGATCGTTTATCTTAAAGTCATGCGTTGTGTTTGATATTAATGTCATACATTGTAGGAAAAATTAGGAAATAATGGTATTCAAAATAATACTGTACTTCTCTAATATTTTAGTTAAAACCAATTGTGAAATAGGGAAAAGCAAATTGATATTACTGTTTAATTTCAAGACTATAACTAGTTAACAAACTTTGTTTATTTTTGTCTTTTGAGCTGCATTTTTTAGCCCATCGGTATCAATTAAGTTTCTCTCAGTCAAACATTAGAGTTCAATTCGATGTTATATATTACTTTCAATTAATTATTCTTTCTATGTAAGGTCTTGGTTGAGATAAAAAAGTCAGTGTCACGTCAAAAAATCTTAAAAATGTAAAATAGAGGGAAAATTCAAACGGTTGTATTTTGGGAAGGAGAATTGGTGTCCGAGAGGATCGAAGTCACGTTAGCTCAAGTGGTAGACTAGCCTATTTAGCCAAAGGACGTGGGTTCGAATCCCGCTCGTGACACTGATTTTTTTATATCAACCAAGATCTTACATAGAAAGAATAATTAACTGAAAGGAATAACATGGCCAATTGACCACTAAAACGTAAATGGGTTATATATTATGGCTCTAACATTTCTGTTCATCGTTGATACTGATTTCAACACATCCTAGTTGTTTCAGTCGTAAAATGAATTTTATGAGCACATTAATTAACCATACAACGTAAGTCGTATAAATATGCTGTCACTGATGCCAGATTGCATTCCATTATTAAGGCTAAATTAAATAAACTTGTAAGAGATTTTGCAAGTGTCTACGCATAAAATTATATCGTGGTAACGTTTTGTAACTTGTAAACTGGCTAATCTAAGAAAACTTTCGGTTTAATAACGAAAATCAATTTGAATAAATGGAAAGATTAAAACTAAACAAGTTACCATTATAGTACAATAAACTTTATATTTAAGTGTGTAGTTTATTAATTATTGTGTTAATTAATTATTGTTTGGAGATCTTGAGATGTGGTCTGGTGTGACGTAGGTTTAGTGAAACATTTATTTTATACTTAAGCTTAATTAGATTAATTTTGACTAAAGTTCTCATCAGTGAGCGTCCAATAAGCAAACAAGGTTGTAAATATTATTATTGAACAAAATGCGTTGCAATAGTTATAAAAATAATTAAAATAAATTGCCGCAAAATGCAATAATCCAAATTAAAATGAGATGATAGTTCATCACCCAGCCTTGAAAGGAAATGTTTTATATTGCTGTAAAAAAAGAAGAAAACTGTTGTCAGAGATAATTATATAAATATTTTGTTTTCGCTTATACTTTGGCCTTTGGTTCATAAATTTAAACAAATAAAAAAATAATATCATGTAATCAATATGTAAATTTATGGATTCTTTAATTGTTTATTCTTACCGTTAAGCACGTGTAAAAGTACGCTGGACGAGTCCAAATTTGAGGGATTGCAGGTGTAATTGCCCGAATTCTCTCTTCTCGCCTCGTAGATAATGAGAGTGCCGACCGTGGTATCGCTACCGACTCGTTCTGTTCTGATGTCAATCAAACTCTTGTCATATTCGAGTACCCTTTGGCCATCGTGGTACCAGAATATGTATGCAGGCTCCTCCAGGCTCTGTGTGATAACGCACTTCAAATTTACATTGCTCCCCGCTTTCACGTAGATGTCAGCTTCACCCAGGATTTCCACTTTGGGCACTGTAAAATAAACATAAGTGAGTTTTCGTTTTTAGTTGTAAACAGGTCAGTTATTGAATAAATGTTTAAAAAATATTGAAGGAAAATGTTAAGTATAATTTAGTTTTGTGTTATTCATACATAACGATTTAAGAAAAAATATATTTCGTTTTGTCAATTCATTCAGTGCATATCGTAAAGGAAGTAAATAAAAAATGAAGTATTAATTTTTTTAAATATATACATGACAAACAATTGACAATTTTTTCCTATTCTTTGATCGTTTTCACAATATGCAGTTCCATGCAAACAAATGTACAAATAATTTATGAGAATGATCGAATATATGATTCCGTTATGACTTATTTAATTTAATATTTTGTAAATACGACATGTGATTTAGTTCAACGTAATTTAAGGCACTCTTCAGGCTGTATACCAGTTGATAACTTCATGATGACTTCTGGGACAAATTTTTAACCTAATAGGAGAACCAAAATATAATTGATATTCAAACGAAGATAATTCAAGGAAGCAAGGCGGGATACAGAAATTTCTGAAATTAGCCATCGACATGTGACCTCAATGTAACCCGCTCCTTACAAAGTTACTTTATTTGAGGAATAATAGTAATTAATCTTTATGTAAGATATTGGTTGAAATGAAAAAGTTAGTATCACGAGAGAGATTCGAACCCACGACCTACGGCTAAATACGCCGCTGCTCTATCACTTGAGCTATCGTGACATCCATTCACTTGGACACCAGCTCAAGTGGTAGAGCAGCGGCGTCTTTAGCCGAGGGTCGTAGGTTCAAATCCCGCTCGTGACACTAACTTTTTCATTTCAACCAAAAACCTTGCATAAAGATTAATTAATTTGAAGAAGTTATTTGGTCAATCGGACCACGAAATATTATCGATTTAAAAATTAAAATAATTCTCTCTTTCTATAGAGTTAAAAAAATAAAATACAATACCAACTTTTATTACAACATTTTTTCCTGTAGAAAATTTCTTGGGTTTGGTTTTTTTGCATATTATATTTATCATAGATCTATTTATAATTACTTTTCCATTTAACGCACGGCATGGTTAGCTCTAATTTTATGTTAGTACGTGTTTTGCTGTGTAACGCTGTTCTTTTTCTCTGAAAGAGAAAGGAATGCAAGTCAAGCACAATGAGCAAACTGTATATGATAAAGATGCTGTCAGTGACCGGGTGCCCAAGAGGTGGTTTGTCAAGTCTAGAGGAGATTTTTTTTCGAATGATAAAGAATACTACTCAGAAAGGCTGACGTGGCTTACGACCAATTCAAAGCTTCCATAGATCTCAGACATTCTCGTCACATCCAAAAGGTAGACATGTAGTTTTCTACTGAAATGAACATAGACATCCGTTTGATTTGTTATATTCCTTAAGTGAACAAAATATAATTATTTGGTGGGTTGAACACACCTTTACAATAACTGTTTTGTTAGGACAAAATCGTTGATTATTTTGTTATATCCATCAATAAATAATTGATTAATGTAAATAGCCAACAATTATCACACAGTTAATTTTATGGCTATTTCAATGAAAATTTTTGTGACATTTTTCTTACAATCTGCGGGGATTTGAACCTGGTACTTAGACATTTTCGATCAATTTGGTTTATAAATTTTGTCTGTTTGGCAGAACCAGCACCGAAAATGCCCAGATGACGAAACTCATTTGACAGAAAACTCAGCAAGTATCCGCAGGACTAAACAATCCTTGACGGAAAAACTACGCGTTCATCACCCCGTAGACCCTAAGAAAAATCTCACAATAAATTTTTCCAAACAAAATATGAAATAAATTGTCCATATTTTTCGTTGTATTTAGGTCGCTCCTCATTATTTCCGTGTGTATAACTTTGCTGGTTTGGTTAGAGAGAGTGTCTCAAAAGTATGTTTTCCTTCTATGGAAACATTCCAGAAAGGCAAAAATCACCGGGATGATCTATTTTTTCAAATTTTATCTTGGGGTCTAGAGGCGAATGACTCTTTAGTTTGCTCGTTTTTGATGTGTGATGAACTTTTTTGTGTATTTGGCAAAGCTAGTCTAGCTGTCAGTGAAGTTGGCGATTTGCCGAAACGCATTTGAAAAATCAACTACAGGTTCAAAACCTCGTAGACCTCCAAGAAAAATATTCGGATATTTGTTTTTCATTGGGAAATTTACCTTTGGGGGTTGCCGGATAATGTAACCAGTTGTTTGTTCGTTTTTGATTATTTGGTTTCCTGTCCATGTCGTCTAATACAGACAACTCAAGATATCTGAAATGCCGAAACCGTCTAACAAACTAACCTAGCGAGAATTGGCTGACCTAAGCATCAGTAACGGCCAAAAAGTTATTATATGTCCGGAACGTGATATACCACTTACGATATTTGCCGTATATAGAACCTTCATGTACTGGTCGGTCGGCTCCTCTGCTGTAAAGATACTCAAAATCGAGCGTCCCCTTGCAATTAGCCAATGTCGGTTGTTGGTTAATTTCTGACTTTACTTGCTCCAATTATGTGCAATATTGACTTGAATTAACATTTGTCAGTCAACATGTGATGATATACATATCCAGCTTCTCAGAATTGTTGAAACTCTTGTTTGAGATATGTTGAAAGACTGCGATGTCTTTCGTCGTCCAGTGTGGGTTATTTGGTACAAAAACTTCAATTTGGTTGGAAGGTTGAAGAGGGCTTTGAGTTATCCAAACGTTTTTATCACTATTTTTTCAGCGTTTCTGAGGTTGTAGCGAAAAGAACTATATTATCTTTAAATGGAAGGTGGATTTTTGTCTAAATGTGCCATAAATAAAGTTTATCATTATTTGTTTTATTATTTGTTTCAGACCTTTTTGGTTGTATAGTTTTGGGAGAAAGGCTAAGTCCTACAAACCATGCCATCAAGATCAGAGAAATGACGAGATGCGTCTTCTCGAAACTAAGTTCGATCGCGAAATCAAAATGGGGTTCAGTCCAAGGGCATTCTCCATCACTTACGTATATCTGCCTATTGCCACGTACGGAGGAGCAGTTTGGGGAACAGAATTGCAAAGCAAGAGTAGAAGCGTCTTCGAGCAGAGTCAAATAATAGCTCTCCTGAGAACGACCAAAGCTTATAGGACAGCCCCTACTCACGCCCTCCAAGTCCTTGCTTCCGCTGCGCCAATAGACATTGTCCTCCACAGTAGAATTGCAATCCGACAGATAAAAGATGGAAAGGAGCCAACAATGGTAAATTTGGATGCGTCAGATAGGGAATGGCTACGAACTGCACCTAGAAAGCAGATCCGGGAGATCCTTAGTCAACTCGTGGCAGGAAAGATGGGACAGAAGCACCAAGGGAAGGTTGACCCACAAGTTTCTACCCAGTATTGAGGACCGAGCATGAGCAAAGTGGTTTCAACCAGATTTCTGGATCACACAAATAATGACAGGTCACGCAAATTTCAACGCTTACCTGCCTCTTCCTTGAGAGTGCGAGGGAACCTCTAAAGCTTCTCTTCCGCCACACTTGGCCACCGACCCTCAACGAACTAGTTAGACCTTTGAGGTCCTCAAGCCTGTTAGCCGAGGTATAATCGGTAAAGTACCTGACTAGTTTTTTCTTTCTTTTTTTTCTTCCTATGATAACTAAATTACTTGTTAGATCTTAGCGTTTCCCTGAACTTTTAATTCCGGGCTGGTTACTCCTTGTACCCATATTTATTAGTTATTTATTAAAATATTGTATATATATCTTTATTAGAAAGTGTATTCAAAAGGATTAACCAGCAAGGAGGAGTCCTATTAGATTAGGTAAATTAATAATAAGAAAAATATTTCCCTCCTTCCTTAGGTCTTCCCTTTCAGGGCAAGGTCGAAGGAAGACGTTAAGCACAATAAGATCTCCTAAACTTGCATCCCATGTGAATTAGTTTAGTGGCCGTGGTCCGCCGGTAATCCCTTAAGAACGGCGGGGAGGTGGATGGGTAAAAAAAGACTATTTTGGTCTGCCTTTCCCTGCTGTTGCGGCTTCTCGCTTCCATACTAGCGACTCTGACCATTAAGACCAAAATAATAGGAAATCGTTCATCACTCCGCAGATCCACTAAAGAAGTACATACTATGCAAATCCCGCTCAACGAAAGACAACCAACCGCTTCGTTGGCAATGATGTGCCTAATGTGTACGCACCATTAGTAGCACCTCAGAAATGTATATCACTTATGTAATGATTGTGATCTTGTCTGTAGTAGTATCAACAAGACTAATTTATTTTCGATGGCCTGGAAAAAACGTCACTAATGTACAGGTACTTAACAATATGTATTGATTTAAAAAGGGAACTGACACATGAGCGATGATCGAACTGTTGACATTTTATAGCAAGAAAGAAAAAAAAACTGATTTTGAATATATAATGTATTTTCTAAGTGGATGAAAAATCGCCTGACAAGAAACGCTTAGAAATGATTTCCAAAGGCTAACATGACGGATAGTCAGGTGTAAAGGGGAGGCAATTTATGAGAGAGACCATGTAAGCATTGCGTGAGTTCCGAGCTACAAGAGCAATTAACAAACGTTACGCCAAAGTCAATTATAAACGGTGGAAAGTGTTATTAATTGAAAACTCTTCTAATATGCCGTTCGCGTGTTTTGTACATCATTCGATCCTCCTCTTGATTGACGGCGGGCGAGATTTTAAATAAGGGAAGCACAAGTAATATCCGCTACACACGGCAACGGAAAATTTCTTTTTTTAGTCCCACCCAGTACGGAGGGTAAAATAGATGTAGGCGCCTGAAGGGAAATTGGTTTCCATTCAGGTAAATGCACAAAACCGCCATTGGCTCGGTTAAAACAAGAAAACTATCTAAACTCTGGGTAGATAAACAACACCGAAAGGAATAACATTGCTTGCTGATGTATTATACAATAATACGGCGAAAATAATTATATAAAGAAAAAATTCGGGGTAGAATTTTTTTTTGCCTACGTCATTTAAAGCTGGTGAATACAAATTTTTACTTTTAATTACTGCAATTTATACATTTTAACATATCTATAGAAGTTTTAACACAGACGTTTGTTGCGTAATTTGACCTTTATGCTACTTGCAACAAATAGTTTCTGGGTGTTCAAAACAGAAGAACTTTTCTTTCTTTTTATTTAGTCGGTTGACATCGGTTCATCAACTCTGCAGTTGCCCAATGAAACGCCAAAATCATGGATTTTTGCTTTTTTATATTTAATTGAAATTTGTTTCAAAACCTGGCAGTGTGAAAATATCAATTATTACAATTTATTTAATCTATTAACTATATGTTTGCTTTGTGAGATAATTAAGCTCACTCACAGTTCTTTTCTTTGCGTGTGGTAAACAGTTTAAAAACGTAGTAATGAGAAATACCACGAAAGAAAAAGATTTCGTTTTAGGATCTGTTTTCTATTCTGGTAAATGTACAAAACAAAAAAGTAAGTAAAACGCAGTCTGGGTAGATAAGCAACATAGAAAGGAATAACATTGCTTGCTCATGTATTATATAGTAATACGGCTAAAATAATTATATAAATAAAAAATACGGGCTAACATTTTTTGTTTGTATATATTTATTTAAAACTGTTGAATACCAATTTTTACTGTTGATTATTGCAGTTTATAAATTGTCTTTTAAAACATCTACAGCAGTTTTAACGCATCAGTTTGTTGCATAATTTGACCTTTCTGCGACATGTAACAAAAATGTTCGTGGTTTCCAAAAAAAGGAGTATTTCTCCACAGTTCCCTGTTTTAATTAGACATTAAATTTTTACGAAGAAAATTTTCATATAGTTTAGACATAATACACGGCGTTCAGTTCATTAGTTTTACGCGACCGAGCGGTCATGATGGTTTAGTATAATGCAGAGCCGCCAAGAAGAGGGAAATTTCCTAATTTAATAATTTATCAAGGCCTTTCTAAATGTGACAACAATAATTTGCAATAATGTTAGCACAGTAAATTTTTAAATTTGCCTCCAAGGCTGAGTATTTATGAGTATTATTCTAGCAAAAATTACAAGCAACATATTTATTTTTATTAGCAATATTTTGCTTGTATGTATGCTGTATTTATTTAATTGATGAGTGCACGTCAAGCACACTCATAGTTATTTTTTTCGCATGTTGTAAATTGTTTTAAAACCTGGTAGTGAGAAATGCCACGAAAGAAAATGTTTTCTTTTAGGAACTGAATTTAAAAAAAAATCTTTAAAGTCCTAATTGACAACAGCTATGCATTAATTTGTTGTTCTAGTAATATTGGATTATAAATTGTTTTTCATGAGCTACGTCAAAACAAGGAAACTATCTAAAACGTAATCTGCGTAGATAAACAACACCGAAACGAATAACATTGCTTGCTGATGTATTATATACTATTAGGCTAGCATTTTTGGTTTACACTTGTTTACTTATGGCTGGTGAATACAAATTTTTTACTTTTAAGTATTAAATTTTATAAATTAGCTTTTAATATATCTATAGGAGTTTTAACACAGAAGTTTGTAGCGTAATTTGACCTTTCTGCCACTTGTAATCAAATGTTCTGAATTTTGAAAAAATAAGCATTTTTCACTGTATCCAATTTTTTTGTGGAGAGAGGGTTGAGAAGAAAAAGTGGTTTCACGAGGGGAATTCGAAACCACGAACTTAAGCTCTACACACTTGAGCTACGATGATCTCGATCGATTCCCCTTTCAACCAGCTGTTAATTTATATTTTCCCTTTACCGCCAATGGCATCATTTAGAGGACTAAGACGTATGATTAGCTTCTTCTCAAACGTCTTTGCATAAAAAAATTGTATTTGAATTATTGTATTTCATAAATTAGCTTTTAAAACAGCTAAAGGAGTTTTAACGCAGCAGTTTGACGGGTAATTTGACCTTTTTATCACATGTAATCGAAATGTTTAGCATTTTGAAAAAAGAAGCATTTGTTCACACTTCGCAGTTTTATTTAGACATTAAATTTTTACAAAGAAAATTTTCATAATTTACGGCGGTCAGTTCGTTAGTCTTGCACGATCGAGGGGTCGTGGTGGTTTAGTATAATGCTGAGACGCTATGAAGAGGTAAATTTCCTAGCTTAATAATTTATCAAGACTGTTCTAAACATGGCATCAATAATTTGCAACAATTTTAAATATTTCTACGTCGAGTACAGTAAAAATTATAATTTCAACTATATTTTTGCTTGTGCTTAATTTAAATGGTGAGTGCAA